CAGAACGCCCTCCCCCTTCCCCCCTCCCCCCCTCCCCAGTGCGCTGCCCCAGGAAATAGGGGAGTCAGAATGCGGGCTTTAGTGAATGCATTCCTTTTTACACTTGTTTGTCTATTTCATATTCTTTCATTTAATATATTGTATTTCAGTGAATTTAGAAAAGTGTATTTTCATTATTCTTAGCGGCTGCGTAGGTGAACAGTTGAGTTAAGAGGGTAAAAATGGTACAAACAGTTTCAGATCATATATAAGGCTGAAGATAGTTCATATTTTCATTATATTTGAGTTATTTCCAGTATATATACATGTTCCAGGTACTTAAAGCGCGCGTTCTTGAATTCATCGGATTTAATAATGCGTGAATCCGAATCGACTACAAGAACGGCATTAACCGACACTCCTGCATGAAGCAAGGTCAATTTAATTCCTATCGTGCAATAAACTAAATATAAACTGCAACTTTTATAGTGGATCTTTGCAACCTAAACCTCAGATCAAAGATCCAGTCAAGTGCTGATTGCATGCATCAACACATCAAATCAACGTGAGAAGTGCAAGGTTAACCATGTTCTCTGAGCGCCAGTCACAACTGCCTGCGAGGACCGCTTGGCTGTCCGAACCGCCATTGCTGTTTTTGATACGATTTTCTTACGCCGGTTCACATATAAACAGGTTTGTACACATACGCTTCCTACAGACACGTGGATTTACGCACATGTACACACGAGTGCAGACACAGGCATTTACACACAGAAACACACACGCCAACAGACGCATGCAATTACATACATCCAGAAACATACGTAGACACGTACAGACGCAAATATCCACACGCATAGACAGACACAAGGTCTATCTTATAATAGACCTTGCACGCAAACACGTACAGACGCATAGACGTACACACACGGACACGCTGCATGCGGTTCACCTTTCGGGAAGCAGAATTGTTTGGAGAAGCTTTTATCGTTGTTTACTCAAGGTCTTTGCCGGTGCTGTGTTGGGGATCCCTCCGCGGAGTTGTGTTTATATGTGTGTGTTTTGAGAATCGTCAATTTGAACTGTATAATTGAGTGTTCTCTTTTTATAGCGTCTGCCTCTTTAATAATGCATATTCATAGGTTGTAAAAGAGGATCACTGCTGACTAGAATAATATTGCGGGATTGAATAAAATCGATTCTATGGATGTCAGTGTTGACTGACGTTGCATACTCATGCATGCCTTGATGTCTAAATCTACTACATTTCATCGACATAGCCATGAGAGGTCTTTTTGCCACAGTAGATATAACCATGTATGTCTTCCATGCATATGCTCGTCTCTGCGTTTCTACATATGAATTTATCCATCTCCACGTACACATATATCTCTGCCCTTCACTCCTCACAAGGAAAGGCTCGCTGACTAGGTTGAGCGTCCTAGGGCAGAGGTTGACTCGTTCCGCGGGAGGTAAATTACTTAATTATGAAGTGACTACAGCTCTCCGGGGTTCTTGGGAATACAACATTTGACTGTTTTATGTGGAAATGGTGCAGGCGGGTGATTTACGCCTCGGAAAAGCAGTTATCTCGCAACGTAAGATATTAAACATTGGATTTATCTCGGAATTACGATTTGTCTTCCTCGCGGTTCTCGCTTCGTTCTTTATGTTCAATAAATGTCAAAATTGTAGAGGCTGCGGCCGCTCTCTCGTTTCGTTTATATGCTTTTTTCATATAGCACATCGATTTTTATTCGTATCATATACACACACACGCATAGATACAAATAGATATATATTTTCTGTACAGTATGCGCGCGTCTGTGTATGTATACACACACACAGACATATATATATATATATATATATATATATATATATATATGTGTGTGTGTGTGTGTGTGTGTGTGTGTGTGTGTGTGTGTGTGTGTGTGTGTGTGTGTGTGTGTGTGTCTACACACACACACGAGCACACACACACACACACACACACACACACACACACACACACACACACACACACACACACACACACACACACATATATATATATATATATATATATATATATATATATATATATATTATATATATATATATATATATATATATATATATATATATATAAATATATATATATATATATATATATATATATATATATATATATATATATATATATATGCGTGTGTGTGTGTGTGTGTGTGTGTGTGTGTGTGTGTGTGTGTGTGTGTGTGTGTCTACACACACACACGAGCACACACACACACACACACACACACACACACACACACACACATATATATATATATATATATATATATATATATATATATATTATATATATATATATATATATCTATATATATATATATATATATATATATATATATATATCTATATATATAAATATATATATATATATATATATATATATATTATATATATATATATATATATATATATATATATATATATAAATATATATATATATATATATATATATATATATATATAT